AAAAAAAAAAAAAAAAAAGAGAGAAATACTCTGTCCTCTATGCATGGTAGACATAAGGAAGATTCATGTGCAGGAAAAGAAGGAGAATGGATGTTGTCAAATAGACAATGACAATACACCAATTAATGCAGAAAAACAAATGAACATAGAAAAAAATAAAGAGTTCAGGTTTCCCCAGAGCTTTTTAAGATAGAACCATTTTAAAGTCAGATAATTACACATATTTAAGTTTAGACTGATTTTTCAAAACTATACTTAGAGAGTTTTGTTTTGTATAGTAAACATTTAAGCACAATGCTGGAGAAGCTCTACCTGTAGTTTGGGGCTGAAAAGGAGAGTGACTTGCTGTGGGGAAACCTCCAAAATTACTCGAACCACTAGACTGTCCAAATGCATCAAAGTTTGCAAAATCTGCATTTGCAGAATTCTGAGCTGTAAATGGTAAGGAACAACATATGTTAATGAATATGAAAACTATAAATGAAAATACGTGACAAATGAGCTTAAGAATTGTATGATAAGTTCTATATATCAAAACTCACTTAATAGAGAATTTGCTTAGAAATCAGATTTTAAATCCTACCAGCATTTAACCCAATTACAAGTAATTTACGAAGGAGTAACCAGGGATTTCCAAAAACACTTTGTGCAATGACAAATCTGGACATAATACTCTGTATATGACAGAAAAGTGACTCTATTAACAAAGAAAACTATTTCAGAGTACTGAGTTACAGTAAAGCAGACAAAGATGTAGAAAATATTCTGGAAAATTCACTGAGTACAAATGGTAATCAACTATGTGAATGTGAATAACAACTGAAATATTTAAAATGATACAAAGATGGTTTAATTAATAAATAAAACTTTTTAAGTTTATAAATGTGTCACCATGGTCATATACAAAAATTTAAAAAAGGACAGGATCACCAAATAAATTAAAGATATTCACATTCTATTAGAAGCCTGCAATTTTAAACTTATTAAAATTTAAGAAACAATGTACTAGTATAGAAATTACAGCATATAATTCAGAGCCCCAAATATTAATTGAATACCTATTAAATATGGTAAAACAGGACTTTGTAGTACTTGTATCCATTTTTACTTCTAGGTACTGATCTATTCACTATCTTCAACAATCGATTACAAATGTTGCAGAATGAAATTTTGAAAAACACAACTTTGGAAATTAAACACTAATAAATTCAGTATTAGAAAAATTACTATCTGGACACTCAAGCATTCTATGCATAAAGAAATCCAAGCTAAGGAGAATGTAACACAATGGTAAAACTGACTCTCAATTAATCGTATTTCAAAAAGTACAAAGGAGTCAACTTAGTATGAAACTTAAGATCCCAAATTAATGAGCCTGAGTCTTGCTAATAGCTGTCATTCCTCAATGAGAAACAAATATTCCTGAGACCGGAAGACAAAGAGAGAGATCATAGGATGCAAACTAGCAGCGCTCAGCAAATTTATCTGACAGATACGCTTTGTTACATCTATACAGTATTTTACATTGTTTCCCATCAATTCCCAACATTTAAAGAGGGCATTTCACAATAAACAAAAAGACTTCCAGCTTCTCTTATTAAAAAAAAAAAAAAAATCAATATATCTCATAATCCTAAATCCCTATATCCATGTGGTAACAGATTAGATCATCTCCTTTAAAAAGGGCACCACTGTTCCTTAAATAGAGCATTATACTACTCATTTGTGTTACCTGAGTTGCAAGGCAGTTGGGTTTAGATCCTACAGTACAGAGTGTGACAAAAATCAATTACAGTTTACAGTGCACAGGTTTTGTGATGATTGATGTTTATCATCAGGCAAAATAACTACTAAATTCAGCAGGCGAATTTTATTTCTAGTTTCATTCATATTTCTGTAAAGGATGACTTTTCTGAACCCCACACAGCAACATAAATACTATACCCCAGCCTGAATGCTCACATAAAGAGTAAAGACTTCTGGCTTTTAAGTCACTGAACTTTCTACAAAAGAACAAGTTTTCCTACAAAACAGTGCTAACCAACCAGACTGGCATATTTGAATAATTGTCATTTGCCATTAAAGGTTCTGTCAGTCATAGCAAACTGTTCAGGATAACATTCTCATTTAGTATTTTTGAAAAATTAACAAGAATATCAGGATGAGAACTTGGCAATCAATAACTTTATTTGTGAACCTTATATGAAAAAATAAAGATTCTGAATGCTTGGAAAGGCTCTGGAAAAAATTATTTCAGTTAAACCACGACCTAGTTTTTATACCTAGAGACTACTCCAAGGCAAAATGTCAAAAGATGGTATCAACTGTATAGAAGGAAAAATAAATGAGTAATTCAGTAGTTTCTTCTTGTAATAGGTATATACATTTTATTCACCTGTAATCAAACCAAAACTCAAATAACGAAAAAAAAAAGTAATTTGAGCAGTCATTTTTAAGTAAGAACTTTAGACTAAAAAAACAACTCCTCTTATGCAACCTGACTTACAGCTAGCCTACGTGGCTATTACCTTCTTTCTTCACAAAACAGTTAAGATCAACCACTTTCTATCAATCTGATCAAAATAGAAGTTTCTTTTCCTTTACTGCATTTCTACAATTAAATGATGGTGATTGTTTTCAAAGTGCATTTTAAGGGAGTTGTTGAAAGTAATAGTGCAACCATGGTACAAGTTAGTCTGAAGAGTTGCAGTGATTTATCTAACCATTTTTGGCTAACAGAGCTACAAAGAAAAATTCAACATTACCTATGAAAGTCACAAATTGCATTTAAAGAGAGAGAAACAATGGGAACAAGAAATAAGTTGCAAATTTACAAAAGAATTTGGTACTTAGTAATTTCACATTATATTTCAATAATCCTAAAACAAAGATTATACCAGAAGATATTCATAAATTATACAAGGTTTACTCTTCGTTGGTTTTCCCCTCAACTCTTTTTACCAGCATTCAAAAGCAAGAGGTGGGAAAAGAGAGTTGGGGTTCTTATCTGGTCAGAAGGGAAATGGATTTCTGAAAGAGGTTCTCCAGGTTTTCTGGGATTTTGCAGCTCAGTTAATACAGAAGAAGGAAAATCTACCACAACCTCAACAACTTAAGCAAAAGAAAATCACAATTTCTTATCCTCCTCAGTATAACTTTTCCTGAAAAAAGAAATCCATGTCATCCTAAGACTCCTTTTTAAAGCAACTACACACGAGACATATAAAAATTATACCACAATTTCCTTCTAAATCATGTCCTTAGAAAATGTTTTTATTAATATTTAAAACAAAAGGTTCCCTTATTGCTTGCTAGAAAGAAATGTGGCTGGAGAGAAGTTTTTCTACAATTTGTCAAACTATACCAAACAGAACATTTTGGGTATGATTACATATAATATGCTTTATGTCATCACTATCCGAAAAGTCAGGTCATCAAATTGAAAAAGAAAAACCATCACAATCTCACAGGTAAGTAAAAAAAGGCAAAATAAGTTCTAAAATACAAATAGAAAAACAGTTCTCTCAGCAATGGTTTCTGCTATGCTCATAAAATTGTGAAATACATCTTTTAGAAAAATAGTCTTGAATTTTTCTTGTCCATAATTGAACCTATAGAAAATAATATAAAGCAAAGTTTCAAATTATCAAAATAAAACTACAAAATGACTAAATTCCTAAATTAATGTTCTACATTTGGTTTGATACTTATGTAATCACTCAAAATGCAAACGGGTAAACTTTCCATGGTATCAACAACACAGCTTACTGGCATCCAAAATAGATTCCATACACATTTCCAACACAAATACTATGTATGCTTTTACACTGTTAAAGCATAAAGCAGCAACTATAAAGAGTCAAGAAATTACCAAGCTGTTGGGAAATGAATCTAAACCATTTGGGGAATCTTAACTAAGATCAAAAGATTAAAACAGCATAAAAACTTGCTATAAACTATGATCGTTTTTCTGAAATGCACGATAGGTAAACACACATAAGTGTGTATGTGTCTACATATGTACATATATATGTAAAAGGTGTGTAAAAGAGAGAATATTTTTTGTACCTTTTAGATGCCAACCAGTTAAATGCATCATCTCATTTGAACCTTGCCACTTAACAAAGACAATTTATAGAATAAAAAATTTAGAAATGTTAGGTGATTTGCCCAAAGTTACATAGATAATAAGCAAGAAAGCCAGCATTTGAACCCAGGTTGTCCCAACTCCAAAGCCCAGGTTCTTTTTAATACATTATGCCACTTCCCTCTCAGACTATTGCTACCACAATTAAGGAGAGACACAAGTGACCGAATCTACACTTCAATAATCAATTTTTAAATATTACCTAGGTACCTCTGTGAGGTTTGCATATTTGTTAACAAAATAAAACTCCATAAATCCCAATTTCTGGTGATGTGCATTAAACTTTTTGTAACAAATATGTTAAATCTCAGAATAAGGAGGGAAGAAAAGGCCACTCAAAGACCACAAGTGTTCTATCAAAAAAGTATCTTTAGGGCTGGGCACGGTGGCTCACGTCTGTAATCCCAGCACTTTAGGAGGCTGAGGCAAGCGGATCACCTGAGGTCAGGGGTTCAAGACCAGCCTGGTCAACATGGTGAAACCCCGTCTCTCTACTAAAAACACAAAAATCATCCAGGCGTGGTGGCAGGCACGTGTGGTCCCACTTACTCAGGAGGCTGAGGCAGGAGAATTGCCTGAACCCAGGAAGCAGAGGTTGCAGTGAGCCAAGATCATGCTAGTGCACTCCAGTGTGGGCAAGAGTGTGAGACTCCATCTTAAAAAAAAGCACTTTGGGAGGCTGAGGTGGGAGGATCACTTAAGGTCAGGAGTTCCAAACCAGCCTGGCCAACATGGTGAAGCCCCATCTCTACTAAAAGTACAAAACTGGTGGGTGCTATGGTGCATGTTTGTAATCCCAGATACTTGGGAGGCTGAGGTGGGAGAATCCTTTGAACCCAGGAGACAAAGGTTGCAGTGAGATCTCACCACTGCACTCCAGCCTGGGCGAGAGAGCGAGGTTATATACATTATACCCTTTCCCCATTTTTCCACGAAAACAGGTCATGCCAACAACTGACAGAAACATTCTCAACAAAAAATGTTTACTGATATTCAAAGTGTGATAAAGAAGTAATGTTTCTTGGTGCTTTATATACATTCCCCAGCAAAAGTTGTTGAGAAAAAACACTTACCTGCATGACTGTTGAAATGTGCAAAGTTAGCAAAATTGGCTGTAGCTGTTGACTGAGGAGCTGGAGCAGCAAAGATGTCTGAGCCAAGATCACTTAACAGGTCAAACTGCTTCTTCTCCTGCTGCTGCCCTTGAGAACGACCTACAACTGGGGACTATAAACCACATATTAACTATAAAGATATTCCAGTCAGATCTGCAAAATCTTTATACAAAACTATCTCTAAACTTAAAACACACTTATACATAAGAAGTTACAGTATACTGAGTTAACCTTTCTCATTTTTCACTCAAACCTTTTGTGAAAACAGAGAAATTTATCCAAATGTTCTAGTATGTGTTATCAATAAGGATTCAATCTGTATTATTATGCTTCTGAACCATTCTTGTATAGGATAGAGGCTGCAATACTATACAGGAACAGATGTGTCACAGCCCCACACAACTATAATAAAGTACAAATTTTAGGCAGCAACTTATGAAAAGATTCCATTTTGTTCATTTCTAAGAATAAGGTATAATGCAAAGCCCCCTGTATTTTAATGATCAAAATGCTTCACAATCACACGTGGGAAAACTGCACTCCTAAAGAAATCCCTTTCTAGAAAAGTGTATCGCAGAGACTTTATGTTTTAACTCTGATAGTCACCACAGATTCATGTTTTACTAGCTGCATAATAAATGATACATACACACACACACACACACACACACACACACGTATATATAGTTATAGCAACATTCCTGTAGAATTCACCTTTACAAAGCTGCAGAGAATTCAAAGAAACTCATATTAGCAACAGCAAGAAAAACAAACAAATACATTTCACCCACTTAACCTACAATTTCTTAATGTATAATAAACCACTGGAACATAATGCTACTGGCATACAAGGTTATGCTGCTGTCTTAAAGAATTCTCAAATTCTTGATACTCAAGCCTCCTTAAGTTGAACTCCCTACAAAGATTCAAAGACTACTCACCTGACTAGGGGTGCCCTTATTTAAGTGCAGTGTTGGGGCAGAATCCCCTAAAAGAGATTTCAGTGGTTTGACCTCAGGTGTGCTGCTTGTGCTACTGGCAGAGGACCCTGAAATAGATGCATGAACTGATGCCACGACTTTGGCCTGTTCTGGTGGGACATACCTAAAATATGTAAAAAACCAGTTAACTAAGAAAAATGTAGGTAATTCTATAACCAAAAAATGATAAGTTTAATTCTAACTTTGTACGAGACTGTTTCACCATTACTCGTATCTGAAATTCCTCTCACACTGATACCTATTTTTTTAAAAAGAAACAATAGCTTAACACAACACCCATTAAATAACTGAAATACTCAGAAAAAGACTAACCACAAAACTCGTTTCAATTACTTATTTATAGCTTTTCTAAGACATTAAGTACAATACAAGAAATAACTGCTTTTAACAGAAGACCTATAATTAATCATCGCAATAAATAGTTAATAGTATAATTTAAAAAATTATCTTAGATCATAAATAACTTTAAGACAGATGAGGTAGGAAAACACTGGTAATATTACAGTTAGAGAAACACTGGTAATATTACAGTTAACAGCCTAAAATATAAAGGCTTAGAATAAGATCATCCCATTTTAAATGAACAAAAGAAGCAATTCACAGAAAGAGACATAGAAATACACTTTCAACTTAACAAAAATGCAAATTAAGGCTTTATTCACCTATGAGCTAAGTGTGGACTTCACAAATTTTGTTTTGCTACCTACTAAAATAAATAAATAAGTGTGCTTTGTGCACCAGAAGTATCACTTCCAGAAACTTATTCTTAAGAATTGCTAAGTCTATAGATACATGTACACATGGATGTTAACCACAGTCCTCTCTTTATCATTTCAAAAAAACTGGGAAACCAAACGTCTGTCAAGAGAAAAATATTTAAAGGGATTATGCTAAAAATCACTGTAATACAATACTCATAGCTACTCTGCTTTGACGTGGAAAGCTAAAACTTCACAGTTCTTGCAGATTTAATTCCAGTCATGTAAATACATGATTTATGTGAGGAGGCACGTCAAGAAAGAGGCAGCAAGGATGTAATAATGTTCAAACATCAGCAATGCTGACTTCTAGGTGTGGGATTATGTGAGAGCTTTTGCTCTTTGTAATTCTGGGTTTTGTCCTACCCTCCTTTTTATTCTTCATATGAAGTAGGTGAGGAAAGAAGGAAAACCATGTTTAAGAGCACCTGTTCCAGAAACAGAGTTCAAATCCCAGCTCTACCACTAAATGGCTGTGAAACATTGGGTAAACTATCAATACTTCAACTCTTTGTGCTTTCATTTTCTCACTGATAAAATGGAGAGACAGAGTTGCTGTGAGGTTTAAATAAGTTAACATTTGTAAAGCACTGAGAACACATTCCTAGTATAGGTATTTGTTAACTACATAAGTGTTGTCACCAAACTACATAGTAGTCACAAACAATGCAACTGCTTTTTTTTTAAGTAAATGGGAGAGACAAGGGATATGAGAATGAATACAAGAACTTATACTTTCCCATAATTTAGCATACTACTGATATAGCCAAGTCTTATCGAAGGATAAAATCAGCTGATAGTTATTGGTTCAAGACTGAGCTGACACAGTAAAGAAACTAATCTTGTTTAACACAGAAAGTGCTTTTGAGAACTGATCAAAAAAACAATTTCAAAATCCCTTTGGATAACAACAGCATCACTGTTTTAAGTACAGTTACAGTGAGTATTTTTAGGGAGACAGCATCTGGATAGTGCTTATTCCATGTTAGAAACCAATTTCACTGCTCTCTAGCTATATGTTACAGGTGTGCAGGAGTCTGCAATAAAAACATACAGGTTCTGGGCCTCTTAATGATGGTTACCTGTCCCACCACGTAAAGTCTGTATTTGTATTACTCTTATTATCCTGTTTCTCAGGGAAGAAAAAAAAACACATAAATTATAATTATTTGAGGTTTCCAGGTACTTGGGTTATAGTTTGAATGAATAATACATCACTGTTATAAATGTGGGGGTAAGGATCTATGATTTTAATTCTACCAACTGTTATTGACACTCATATTTCTCCCGATAGCTAGAGCTGATCATAAGCTAATCCCTAACCAAACTCACTTTCTGAATTGGTAAAAGTAACACAGCTGAAAAAACAAAACTAGGTTAGGGCTATGCAAGGAGAACAGTCTTTCCTATAGGATGGAATGTCTAGGAAATTCAGAACCAAAACTGTAAAGGGATAATTATACCTTTCATTTTAAAAGAATCATTTATGCTACCACATTTTTACTATCAACCCATCTTCTAATATTTTCTTCTTTTCTAAACTTATATTTTACTGGTGTATTTTAATCTATTTTCATACATGATATCTTCTGGTGTAGCTGAATATAGCCCTGACTAACCTTGCCTTGCAAAAAGTAGTCTATTTTAGGCCGGGCTCAGTGGATCACACCTGTAATCCCAGCACTTTGGGAGGCTGAGGTGGGCGGATCACCTGAGGTCAGGAGTTTAAGAGCAGCCTGGCCAACAAGGCAAAATCCCATCTCTCATATCTACTAGAAATATAAAAAATTAGCCAGGCGTGGTGGTGGGTGCCTATAATCTTGGATACTTGGGAAGCTGAGGCATGAGAATCACTTGAACCCGGGAGGCGGAGGTTGCAGTGAGCAGAGATCGTGCCACTACACTCCAGTCTGGGCAACAAGAGCAAAACTCAGTCTCCAAAAAAAAAAGTAGTCCATTTTGGAAAGCAGTAAGAATACAAATTTTGATAGAGCATGCAAGTCAGAGCCAATGTGCTCCTGAATGAAGGTAAAGACCTCTGCTGTAAACCACGTCAAATGTTCTCTCAGGATCAAAACAGGCTCTGAACATATTCTCTGGGTTGAAATACAGTTTCTCAGGCAAACAAGAGGCCCGTTACTCCCCGACTATCTACCTCCTATTTTGACTCTCTGCCCCATCTTCTTCACCTCCCAAGATGAAATATCCGTTATTCAATACTATTAAAGAAACAACCAAAAGAGTAAAGAGTCTTAGTAACTATACTTAAATTGTGCTCATATAGCTGAAAATGAAGAGCCCTGAGTAGATGAACACTAGCTTTATGTATATAGTCCCTATTCTACTGTAAGGGGCTTACTAGCTATATGAACAACCTGTTGGAATTAATTTTTAAAACTTAACATCCGATATATTTAGTTAGAGAAATATAAATACTCCCTTCTTAACCAGGAAGTAAACTGATTTCTTAGGTAGAAAGAAAAAAATACTTTGAGTGAAGACTACAACAGACAATTAGGTAGATGGATTACAACACCAGAACTTCAGCACAGTGCCTAGTACATTGAAGATGCTACTCAATAAATTTAAAAAAAGATATGACTCAATAAATACTTGCTAAATTAATGATTTTTAAGAATGGAGACTTTGCAGGAAAAAATACATTTAAAGAAGCTAACTAAGATAGGGAATGAGTAGAAGAAAGAATGCCTAACTTTCCTGGTAATTATTATAAAAAAAAGGCTGCTGCCAGGCACAAGATGAGTTAAGATAAAGTAGAAGTAAAGGTTTTTGGAAACCAAACCAACAAAAAGCCAAGAGATAATGAATTATATACTTATCTAGTTCTCAGTGTCTATGTCTTTTATCCTTCATTGTATCAGACTAACCTTATCCAGTGATTTGGGGAGGCTTTATTCTACATATAAACTATTCACTCACCATCTTTTCTTTTCATATTTTTCTTGTAGAAACTCTTTCACTTTTTGTGGATCCCTGAAGTCTGGAATTGCTGAAGATCTATCATCAAACAATCCTAGCCAAATCTGTTTACAGACCTTTGGAAAGAATTAAAGATATATATATATGTTAAATTCAACATCTTCCCTTAATAACATTTTAAGGGGAAATAATGATTCTTTCAGGAAGTTAATCTACATAATAATTTTAATAATATGCATTCAGTGAGGATACTAATAATCAGAAATAAAGAAACTAAATTTATTTTTAATATGTTGCAGTATGTAGTAAATTTTTAGCAACAGAATCATTTAAAAAGGGAAATGAACGGTGAGATGGGATTTGAGAAGACCTGGGGCCTTTTTGGTCTTGGTGGAAACATAAGCCTTACCATTAGCAAAGTCTTGTAACCTGTATAAACCTCAGTTCTCTTACTCACAAAACAAAGGAACTGAAACAGTAACAATTTTACGGGCCTTTTCAACAAGTCTAAAAAAACCAAAAGGAACACACAAAAATACTAGAATCATAAACAATTTACTATAAAACTGTAACAATAAACACAAATATAAGGCAGATACACTATTAGCTTTACAGTTGTCTCCTATGACTTTTTTGTCCAATAGCTTAAAAATGAGAATCTGAGATATTTAACTTTCAGAAAAACCAAAAGAGAAATGAAATAAAATAGCACAAAAAGAACTATAAAGAGAAAAATTTATAAAGTAGACTTCATCAAAAAGTTATTCTTCAAAAGAACTTAAAAAATAAAAAAACAAGACTCCAACTGATAAAAATATTTGCAAAATGTTTAAGAAATTGAAACTGGAATATATAAAGAACTCCTACAATCCAATTATAAAAGACAGATAAACCAACACTTGTTTGGGGTTTCTTCTGGTTTGTTTTTGAGAAAAGGTCTGGCTCTATTGCCCAGGTTGGAGTACAGTGGTGTAATCTCAGCTTATTTGTAACCTCCGCCTCCTATGCTCAAACCATCCTCCCATCTTAGCCACCTTAAGTAAGCTGGGCAGCACCACATGTGACTAATTGTATTTTTTGTAGAGACAGGGTTTCACCATGTTGCCCAGGCTGGTCTCAAAACTCAGAGCTCAAGCAATTCGCCCACCTCAGCCTCCCAAAGTGCTAGGATTACAGGCGTGAGCTACCACGCCCAGCCAACACTTGTTTAAAGAGGGGGCAAATGATCTGAACAGACACTTCACCAAAGATATAAGCAGCCCACTGTCATCAGTCGTATAAAATGCAAATTAAAACAATATTGAGGCCAGGTGCAGTGCCTCACGCCTGTAATCCCATAACTCTGGGAGGATCAAGGGGGGGGATCACCTGAGGTCAGGAGTTCAGGACTAGCCTGGCCAAAATGGTGAAATCCCCTCTCCACTAAAAATATTTTAAAAATTAGCTAGGCATAGTGGCGCACACCTGTAATCCCAGCTACTCGCAGGCTGAGTACGGAGAATCGCTCGAGCCCAGGAGGCAGGGGTTGCAGTGAGTCAAGATCATGTCATTGCACTCCAGCTTGGGCAACAAAAGTAAAACTCCATCTTAAAAAAAAAAAAAAAAGACACTGAGACTCCCAAGATAGACATGCATAGATACCACTAGAAAAGCTAAAAACAAAGTTGTGACCACACAATGTGCTGGTAACAATGCAGAGCGGCGGGAACTCTTTAAAATATAAAATGGTATAACATTTGGCAGTTTCTTAAGAGTTAAACGTAGACCTGGCATACGACTTAGCCATTCTACTTCTAGGTATGTATCCAAGAAAAATAAAAGCACTTGTCCACACTCAGACTGTACATAAATATTTACAGCAGCTTTGATAATAACCCCAAACTGGAAATAACCCAATTGTCCATAAACAAACAAATAAAAAAATGGCAGAAAATCCACAGAAGCATATTATTCAGCAATTAAAAGGAGTAAACCATTAATACGGGAAACATGAATAAACCTCAAGATTATATGCACTCCCCTCCACACCAAAACATATATACAACATATTTCCATTCATTTAAATCTTGAATATAAACCGGTCTACAGCAAGGAAAAGCAGACCAGTGGATTCATTACAAAGGGTTGCACAATGAAAATGGATGCTCTCTTGCTCTTATGGTAGTGGTTTTATGGTATATAGATATGTCAAAACTCATCAAACTGTATACTTTATGGACACGTTATCAATTTAAATATGTACAAGTTATCAGTTGTTCCTCAGCAAAGTTATCGAAAACAAATCCACAAGTTTCCAAAATTATATTATTTTAAAGAATAAGCAATTACAACACTATGAAAAGAACACAGTATCTGGTTTCAAAAACGCTGACAAATATTTAAGACATGAGCCAAGGAAAAGCATACTTCTCAATCTTACTTGCTCACGGAATTGGCTATGGGAGACATAAGAGAAAGGACAGGAAAAAGGACTTTCCCTTCTCCTCTCCTACCATGTCCCCAAACATGTTTCAAAATATTTCTTGCGGTTCCTTCCTACTTCAGGCTCAGTACAGATACTATAAAGTCATTTTGGAAGTGACAGTTGACACGAGTGAGGACTAGAGTAAGGCATAATCCATTATGAAGACATTTCAGTGTCAAAGCCTGAGAAGTACAGACATCCAGGAACAGTAGTGCAACTTACTTGCACAAACCTTAAAGAAAACCAGCTTGTCCAATTAATTTTTAGCCACTTAAAAAGAACTACATGGGACTCTCCTCAGGCAGAAACCTAACTAATGATTCTCGCAAACTGTAATTCTTTAAGATTTTTAAAGATCTGTCAATTACGTTCAGAAAGGGAGGACTGCAAGTTTTTAATTCTTCTATTTTAAAACTTCCCAAATGAGAAAACAAGAGACGTGGTATTTGCCCAAGGCCATGGAATTACTTGACAGAATTACTTCAAGACACTTTAGTCTCTACTTTCTAACACTTCTGCCATATACAACTTTTAAAACTAAAATCAGTAAATGAATAATAAATAATAAAAGTACAAATAAATAAAATGAAGCCGATAGGCTAAGGGCAGACAGATCATAGAGGTGCCATCTTAGCACTCATAATGGTAACGCAAAGCAAAGATGGAGTGCTTGATGGTAAACTATTTGAGGTAAGCAGATTGTAGGATTTCCTCTAAACTGCATACTAACTGCTGTGGTTCTGCGCCTGCTCTCTGAAAGGTCACACTGCCAGAGAAAGTCATTAAAAATAGCTGCTTGGGTCTTCTACGAATTCAAAATATCTCACTGACAAAGTTCCTCAAAGTTATTCATCAGCTTTAATTTCCTATTATATTGTCCCACAGCAGCTATTTCCTATATTTATAGCTCAAAATCCTAACCATTCTCAACACTCTTGGCAGTTGAATTCTTCCTCAAGTGAAATGACTCCCAATATGTGATTCCCAATTCCTTAAATCAGCAAGCAACATCAGTGTCACCTAAGAACTTGTTGGAAATGCATATTTTCAGGAGCCACCCAAGACCTGTGAAATCAGTCCCTCTAGGTGGAACCAAGCAATCTGTTTCATCAAGTCTTCCAGGTTATAGTAAAATAGGCTAAAGTTTGAACCAATGCTTCAGTAACATCTAGGCCAGCAGATGGAAACTTACTTCCTACCTGTAACTTTTCATCTTTCCTTGCCTGTATCAGAACATCAGAGACAGAGGGAAAGAGAGATTCGAAATATATACAGCTTTCAGCATTTCTCAAATTTAGCCAGTAAATCTATTATGGGGCAAGATTCATTTAACAAAGCCAGTGTTTCAGTGGCCCATCTGGGAAAATATTAGTCTCTAGCTCCTTATGACCTACTCACATTTTAGTCCCTGAAAGGTCACCTTCTGCTCGCAACACTCTACTAACATTACTATTTCAGGCATCTAGATTTGCTGACAAAGTCTCTTTTCTGCTTGTTTTGTTATTTTAGTAAAACCAATACCACCAACTGAAAAAAGGGGTTTCAAGATTAGAAAAAAAGGGTGAGAATGAATTGACTAAGAAGCACTGAAGACTTGGGGCCATGAATATTTAAAGTGAAACTAGGTTTATTTGGCTATTTAGGTAAAAGTAGGTAGAATATCGGTTTCATTGGGCAGAACATGACAGAGGTTAGAAAAAGGTGACTGTATTAACAGACCATGGAACCTAAGCTAAGAAAAATAAAGACATCATGAGGAAGACAGATAACAACATTTAGTGAAATGAAGGAATGGAAGTCCTGATGATTGTCCCAAAATTGTTGGCTCCAGTATTGGAGTAAGCTGGAAAGAGAATCAGTGGTGGTCAGAGAACTGGATGCTTGAAACTGAAATCTGGGAGTTGATACAGTTATCAATAAATAAAAGGTTTAAAGTAGTATGAAGGATCACTGGAGGTCACGGAATTCTGGAGGCCATGGAGCTATCTGTGTGGATACTGGCCATGCCAAAATGATTCACACTAGTGGAAATAAAAACAGTATTTAAAATGAATGAGGGGGCTGAGCACGATGGCTCATGCCTATATTCCCAGCACTGTGGGAGGCCACATCGGAGGGACTGCTTGAGCCCAGGAGTTCAAGACCAGTCTGGGCAGCATGGCAAAACTCAGTCTCTACAAAAAATACAAAAATTCGCTGAGCGTGGTGGTGAATGTGTAGTCCCAGCTACTCGGGAGGGTGAGGTGAGAGAATCACCTGAGCCTGGAAAATAGAGGTTGCAGCGAGCCTTGATCATACCACTCTACTCCATCCTGGGTGTCAGAATGAGACCTTGTTTCTAAATACATACTGTACATACATATATATATACTGAATGAGGGAGTCTGACTGGTACAATTGCAACAAGAAGATGCAGCCACTGATAAAATCTATTGACATGAAAAGTAGGGGCAAGGCACTATAAACAGCACTGAAGAGCAAGAATGACACTTAAAAACAAGGAATTATACAGAACAATGCAATTAGTTTTGATGGTCTCTTTTGGGGGAGCTAAATAATCGGCTCTAATTATAGAATAATGTGGTGGTGATGGTAGTTAATAAGCTTAGACTAGGGAATCAGACTGCATAAGTCTGAATTCTAACTCTCTTT